GTCGCCTTGTTCACGCAAGCCAACGGGCCCAACGATCTCGAGACGCTCAAGACGCAGTCGGCGCTTGCAAGCTGCGTTGCGTTTCTACGTAAACCACAGCACAAGTGGGAGCCGCTCTTCCTCTCGAAGATGTCGGCACTGGTCGAGCAGCTCGGCGCAATGCACGAGACAACGCTAGTCGCTCGCTTGCGCCTCACGGTCGCACTTTCCTGGAACGGCAATCACCACGGTGCGCTCAACCTGGGTCTCGAGACGCTGGACCTCCAGCGCGCCAAGTATGGCCTCCGTCATTGGCGCACGGCCGGCACTTTGTGTGCGATCGGTGGTGCGTACAACCAACTCTACATGTTCCGTGTCGGGGCCCGGTACCTCCGACGCGCCCTTCTCGTTCAAGAAGCAACCTTGGGGCACGACCATGCATCAACGCGAACGTCGGCGTCGCGGCTCGTGAATGCCCTTTTGAACACGGGGGACGCCGTGCGCGCGCTGCCGATGGCAGAGCGCCTCGTTGCGGGCAGCGAGCGCATCCTTGGCCCGCTCCACGACGCCGCTATTCTTGACAAGATCACGCTCGGGGGCGCGCTTCTTATGGCGGGACAAGCCAACGAAGCGCTGTCACTCTGGACTGCGACGGATGCGATTCTGGAAGGCCGACCCGAGCTGACCGCTCGCCGGCCCATGGGTACGTGTTGGTGGTGGCCTCGTGAATTGATCGTATATCTAGTGCTCGGTTTGATGGCGACGGCATTTTGGTCCCAGAACCAGTACGAGAAGGCCACCAACTACTTTATCCGGGCACTAAACCTCTCGCCCACGAAAAAGAGAAACGCGTGGTACTTCTTCTTGATGGCGTCGACGCGTCCATCCCACGCCGATGACCTTGCGCGCGCACGAAGTTATATCGAGTCCGTCGATGATCCAACGCCCGAGACGTGGCCAGAGAGCTGCCTTTCGTGCGGCAGGGTCATTGCCGGCTGTGTCGTCATGTGCACGGGGTGCCCCGGCGGCATCTCATTTTTTTGCACAAAGTGCCTCGCGCGCAACGTCGCCTGCCTCCGAAAGCACTGCAAGCACGACCCGTTGATGACCAAGTTCTCGACGATGCCGCCTCCGCGCCGATTCTTCCTGGAAAAAGACTTGCTCGACGCCTCGTACGAACACATCGAGACGCTGTGGACCGACTACGACGCCTACTGCACGATGCACAGCGTCCCGTTGCACGAGCGCCTACCACGGACATCGGTGCCTCTTTTGAACCGTTGTTGGCACCCGATGTTTTAGTCCATTTAACTATAAAGATTGTTGATGGCATCTTTTCATTTCAGTGTCGATCAAATGTTGTTGCGCGCTCAGCCCAAGGATCGCTCTTACTACGCAAGGATTGGCTGTTCTGCAATGGCCCTGCGATGTGATTGGACATTGAAACGCGGTGCGACAAGACATGGCATACAAAGATAGAATGAAGCGACTTGAAACACACT